TCTGCTAAACTATGTAACCACCATTATTTACTTATATTTATAAGCATAAAAAAAACCAGCACTATTTCTAAGTATTCAATTAATAAAAAAACACCATTATTTAACTTCTATCACCTATTTATATATACATGTCCACTGAAATTGCTACTAGTCTATTTGGGAGGTTGATAACTTATTTAATAATTTATAATACAAATCTTCTACAATTTTTGCTTGTCCACTGAAGCAGTTTTTGTTTACTTGGTAAAAAGGTACCATTTATTAAAATGACCCAAATGCCTTCTAAGAGGCTGGTTAAATAAATTATATCATAAACACAAAATGTAAAAACTATGTGGATATAAAGAAAAATAAAGAAGCTCTATAATAACCCGATCACCAAAAAACATAGGGGCTGAAAATAAGATGCAGAGCACATGCTAAATAAAAAACAATTAAATAAATAGAATACAAAAATAAGTGACCATCAGTATCTAGCTGCAGAAACAGCTGGTTCCATTGGACCCTTAGCTGTGGAAGTATTATCATAATAGCCATGTAATCACAATGCATGTAACATACACTCATTTATGGATTGTGGAAGAAACCGGAATACTTGTGAAGGAAACCTGAAAATCTGAGATTGGAATCTAGATGCACTAGAATGGAGAAGAGAAAAAAATGAAGAAATGTTTTTTCCAAGCAAGAATGAAAGAATGGTGTTATTTCTAGGCATGGGGAAACTATAGAGGAATTTTCTCCTGGTGGAAGCAGAGTTGTTTCATTTCTCATCTTTTCCCCCATTTCAGTCCATGTTTCATGGAAGCAAGCTGAAAGCTGGGTGGGACTATAAGACGAGACTGGAGAGTTTTAAGCTCCAATACTAATTTCTGTACATAGCTACAGAAGATCATGTACATACATAGTCTTAAGAGAGAAAGTACATATAACCTCAAGGAAATGATTGAAGAGGTTTAAAGAGCTAAGGAACAGTAACAGCTTGGTGTACTGACAAATAGCAGAAGTGACATGTGGCCAGAAGAAAGATCTGTGGAAGAGTAAAGCACTTCTTGCTAATTTCCAGAAAAGACTAGAGAACACTGTGAAGAATGGGGGTAGGCAGAATTCATGTACCCTGTGGAAACACTGGATTTATTACACTGTGTTATGTGCCAACCGTGGTATTACAATAATGAAAACTAACTGCTTTGTGACGTGTACATGTGTACATGTATATGTATACATTTGTTGATCACTTCATCTGACAAAGTATCATTTCAAGTATTTTTGAAAATTTAAAAGATGTTAATAATTTGGAAGAATAATTTGGCAAACTAATCCCAAAACATTTTGAATGGCAAAGTACATCCACACTGAGAAACCCATTAAGTAAAAAACACAAGGTGACATTTGCAAAAATATTAATGACATACTACAGGTAAACTCTATCTAGCTCTTAACTCTTTAATTTAAAAATGCTCACTCATAATCCAACTATTCCTGTTTTAAACCTAAATATAGCAATAGCTGGATTATAATTATCCTTTGTTTGAGATTACTTTGAGTGACATTTTTATCCTGTCAACAAATACGATATTGAGAGGTCTGAATATTCACTCAGATGCAGTGTTAAAGTTTAATAGCACTTAGCATTATGAAAATTAGGATCATATTTGTATTGCAGTTTAAAAAGTATAGTCCACATAACAGAGACATAACTTTTAAGTATAAAAATCCATATTGAGGGCCTCCCCGGTGGCGCAGCGGTTGAGCGCTGGGTTGTGAAGCTGCCTGCAGCCTCTGCAGCGCCGGTTCAATCCCCGGCTGCTCCCCGGCCACCAGAGGAGGGTCCCACATGGCGCGCAGACCTCTCCTGCCGCCCGCTGCTCCCCTCAGCAGTGTACTTTGGTCCTTCTGCCTGCTCTGCTCCCCACTCTGGCTCTGGTGAATTCTCTCACCCTCCCGTGCTTCTGACTGTACCCAGTGCTTGTATAAATAAATAAATAAATCTTAAAAAAATAAAAAAAAATTAAAAAAAAAAATCCATATTGAATCACTATTGCTTTATAGTACTATGTGACAAAAAAGAAAATGCATGTATTTGCATCTTTGCAATTTGCTTTTTTAATTCCCCAGTTACTGTCAAATCTGACATGGATTCAAATCCTAGTTCTTCTATACTTACTGATCCTGGAGATGTTAAATCTGAGTTGTAGAGTTTTACCATCTATTGGTAGAACAACGTCACAAGATTGTTGTGTGAATTAAACATAAAAAGATTTAGGGATATTGTTATCACTAAAAGCAAATTTCAATTATTAGACAAATTCCTAGCTATCTAGACAGAAAAAAACAATCTCTACTTAATAGAAATTATTTCTTTATAAAGAGGACACAGACCTTTCCTCTAAAATGTTAATAGTTCAGAATAACTCTTAGGGCTACACACATGGCATTAAGTGCAAGTAAACCCTAGGGAAAAGCATTAATTACTATTATTATCTTGGCTACATAAAGCCAGATACATAAATGAAAGCTTTTAGGCAAAAGCAATTTATTTAAAGGAATTTAGAATTTCTACAACATTCAAAGATTGGGGTGGGAAAACATCCTGAGGGCCACATCCTGAGGGCCATCAAGGTAACGCCATACATTTAACAAGAAAAGAGGCAAGTCCTGAGGAAGTCAAGTAGATTTATTCCAGTAGTAAGTTTATAAGGTCAATAAAATGAATAGTTAAGTCTTTCAAACTCACACTCCAGTTGTCCTTTATACTACATATACCACTCTGCTTTTAAAATCTTTTGACTGTGTTTTACCTTTATGGTTTACAGAGTTCCTTCTACAGCTAACTTTTTTATTTTATCTAAAAGTTTTCTACTCTAACCATTTTTGGCAATCAAAAATCTTCTAAAAAAGAAGTCCTATTAGACCACACAAATGATTCCCCTTTATTCCTTCCTATGAAAATGCTGACATGGAACAGCAATATAACCAATAAAAATCAGTTTCTATTCTTGCCCCAAAAGATGAATCAGGGGTAAAAAATGATCACTGCTTGAAGCAAAACCTAATTCTATCCTACCTTTGCTAGCAAGACTGACTTAGAGTGGGCCTGTAACCAATGGAACCCCAGGGCTTTTAATAAATTTTAAAATTAAAAAAATCCTCTCAAATTCAGGGGGTCTCCCTGGTTGCACAAGGGGTTAAGCATCAGCACTATCAAGCTATCAGCAGCAGCTGCAACATGCGTTCAATTTGACATGAGTTTGATCCCCAGCCAGGGAGCTGACCCACATGGCACAGCGGACCTCTCCTGTCTTGCCCAATGCTCCCCTCAGCAGTGTATTTCAGTAGATTTGCCTGTTCTGTTTCCCACTCTGTCTCTGGTGAATCCTTTCACTCCCTGCACCTCAGGACTACACCCCCAATCTTATATACATAAATAAATGAATCTTTAAAAAAAATCCTCTCAAATTCTAAGTTACGAGAGAAAAGGCCTAAAAATAACCATAAAAACTTGTCATGGGTCTACATATTTGAAATGCTAACCTTGCTTTTCGTTCTAACTCAAGCTTTAGAGCAAGGGAACAAGCTATAATGAAAATAAGTGATGTTGGAGAAATTACCCATGTAAGTATGATTACAGTCTAAACTTTCTCACCATGGTAAGATCTGTTAGTACCACAGTAAAAAAAAAAAAAATTTAAGCCTCTCAAACTAAAGCTGAACAGAACAGAAAGCCATTTCCTTCCTTTTCATAAATCTTTACACCTCTATAACTATTTTCTGCCCTGTGAAAAGTAAAGTGTTCAGGACACCCCAATTACATATAGAGTCTATTTAAAATAAACCCTTTACTAGATGCACATGTTGCCAATAAATACAAACTTAAAAGCAGTTAACATTGTAAAATTTGAGGGAAAAAATGTAGTAATAGCATTTGGATCACTACCCAATGTTAGAATGAGCCATTAATTAAAGAATCAAATCTTTGAGTAATCCAATTTTTAAAAATGGCAAAGAAACACTTTCGATATCTACTTAACATTAAGTGGTCACAGTAGTATTTTAAGAAAAACAAAAGAAAGATGAGAGTTGGATGAGTTTATAAAGTATGGTTTTATAAGAACTACAATCATTTCTAGGTCATCTTTTTTAGTGTTGCTAAAAGCAATTTTATTAATCACGACCCTCCCACACCCAAAAATTCAGAGCACTGAATTGTATTTGAAAAATATACTGAATTTTTAAATTATATATTTAAGCCTCAATTTAGTAAATTAAAGAAACTCTTAGCCATTGGAAAAACATACACAGAGAAGAAATTGCCCATATACCAACTCTTTCTAAAATTGTCCCTAATATCAGCCCTAAATGCTAAATCAACAATATCCTTAAGTTTGGAGACTTCAAGTAATATGTCTTTCCTTAGCGATAGACTCAAATAGCCAAATCTTTATGTATAATTCTTACCATGATTAATTGTGGAAAGCATATCCGATCTTATAAGTAAGTCAAATACATTTATAAATTTAACAGAAATGCCCCTGACTTCACAAAAAGAACCCTCATTTGAAATGCACACCAACATATTTACCAGCAAGTGTCATGATTTCTGCAACTTACTTTCTTTTCAGCAAAAGAAAAAACCATAAATGTGTGTTGTATATAAAAAGCTGAGTATAGATGAGGCTGAAATCAAATGTGGCAAAATATTACCACTGCTAGATCTAAGTGACAATAAGAGAGACCAGTTTAATTTTTCTGTGAAATTAATTTTAAATTTCAAAATAAAAAATTGGGGGAACAAACAACACTCATTGCCTCCTAGGTTTTTTGTGTTTTAGTTATTACCCTGAATAAATGTCCAGTGCCTTCCTTTTTGCCTTAAGACCTTTCTGCCTAATTTAATACAGCTATTATAGAACTGTGTTGTCTTTTAAACAAAAGTCATAGCTCTAAGAAAGAATTTCCAAAAGTAGGGTTAAAGACTGGTATCAGTGAATTTATTGTTTTACCTGAAAGTTAACATCTTCTTTCTTAAATATTAGTGCTCGAACTTCATCAGGATCTCCGTTAAATATAGCCTGCACCAGTGATGGCTAAAATACAAGAGAGTAATAAAAGCATTAATCACACCACAGGGATGACTTGTAAAGATGTTTCTATGTAACTTTAAAATCCAAAACGTTTCTTCTCTATAGCAACAAGCATTTGGTTTTTTGACATTAACCAAAAGTTTCACAAAGTCAAGCCATGTGAAATTTACATGATTCCTTCCTCTTTAGGAAAGAAAGCAGTCCTAATTATAAAAAAAAATTCAATACAGCCAAAAATAAGGTAGTATAGTAAACACAAACAGATTTTATTTTTTCTATTAGTAGAAAATTTTTGATTTATATATGGTAAAAAGAAAATCTCTTCCACCTAGAAGTGTGACATCTCAGCATCTATTTGTGGGACAAAATTTGTCAAACAAGCAGTTCCCAGCACATACTGAGGCCCATAAGGAATGCCTACTTGAAAAGCTGTTAAGGTCAGCATTATGTGTATAAAGACATAAATTCAAAGAAAGAAAATCTGACAATTGATGAAAATCACTGCTATTCAAAGATGAAAATACTGATACCTGAATAACATGAAGAGGGAAACACGTGCATTTCTAAATATAACAAATTTCTTAAGACATAGCTGCTCTGATAAGGTATCATATTATACTAGTCAAAAAGTCCATTCACAACAGTATTAAAATTAAGGTCAAAGATAAAGTCTGATTCATTTTAATACAAAAGTCTTACATGTAACTACTCAAAAAATCATTACAGAAAAGACTGTGTCTCATTACAGTAAAGACTGTGTCTCGGTATTTCTGGCAGTAGTCAATCTTTCCTAAAATACAGAGTTCTTCATTCTTCTTAGGTTCGTTTTTGAAACCAAAAAATGAAAACAGAAGTGTGGTTGCTATAGCTACTATTTTCAAAAGTATTTCTGAAGTAGTTTTAAAAGATTGAGATAAGTCTGAAATGGTTATCTAAACATCTGATAAAGTAAAAACCAGAATTGTGCGTTTTATATAGAAGTACTATTATACCTTATTTATAGACCTATGTTGTTTTAATTAGGGTTTTTAATGAAATCAGGGGAAACTGTTTATTCTTAAAAAGTAAAATTTACCCTACTAGAGCAGTAGAATACAGTAAACATATAAACTCTCATATCTTACCAATACATTTCCAGAAGGTGGAGAATATAGGGGTTTGTTCTCCTGTGGCAATTTAGAAATGAATTCAGGAGATTCATCTTCTACCTCCTCCAAAACAACAATACACACACGACTCATTCGCTCTCTTAAAATACTAAATTCCAAGCTATGTGATGAAAGTCACAGTTGAAAAAGCAAAAATAGTTTTTTCTCCTCTTCTGTACAATACTTAGAATCATTCTCTGAACAGCACAGCTGTTTTTTTTAAGTTAATAAGTACTATAATAAAAAATCAATGTTTAAAACTACGACTGTATAACTTATAACTTCCTAAAACAACAAAATCGTATTCTTTTCTGTTGGGCTGCTGAAGCACTTAAAAGAAATTTCCCATTAAGATATTAGTAAATAAAACCAAGTTTAGTACAAGCTCATTTAAAAATATTTTTCCCTATCAAAATAGTCTATTGCTGTACTATATCTTAGAAATATACTTGCATAGATTATTATTTTAGGTGTCAACACCACACAAAGCAGGATGAAATGAGAAACAACTGCTGTGATAGAGATGATCACAGTTCTGCCCACTCCTGCCTGCAAGGTCATAGAGTTACCAGTACTGGCTTGCTTGTAACTCTGAAAATAAAAAATAAAATCTCACTATTCTGTTCCACTTCTAATTTATCTTCATTTCTTCAGCTTCCCTAGTTAAATGCAGATACTATCCAGGCAAAAAAAAAAAAAATACATCTAGGATTCAGCACAAATTCTTACAATGAAGCTCAGAGGTTGACAATTCTTTCTGTGTTTGGGGAGAGAAAAAAACAACACTCTGCATTAATAGCAAAGCTGCAGTACATTTACATGCGATGAGTCAGACCACGAGAGACAATAGGACTCTTGGTACTAGAACACAGCTTGATTAATCCAGATATCCCAAAAAATTGAAGTAACACAGATAGCTTTATTCCCATCGACAGCATAAGCAAGGCAGAGCGGTCATTCTTTCTCCATCAGGCAGTTGTCTATAGCTGCTCCAGCACAAGGGCACAGGCACCAGGCAGAAATGGTGTTAGCAGAGAATCCTAATAAAACAGGCAGGTTGCGAAGGAATTAGAAGGCATTTGAGCTCAAGTTACTGCTTCAGGCTTTTCATTTTAAAAGAGACTGGAGGAGGAAAAAAACTCAGCAGTTTATCATTCCAGCGTTTCCTTTGAACTCCACGTGAATACAGCTTCCATTAAATAGTCTTCATTCAGAGGAAAAAACAGCAGACTGTGCATCTTCTTTGAGCCAACTACTTTATTCAATCATCGGCCTCTGTGCCAATACAGTTTCCTTCCACTCTGAAAACCGCTAGTTATCCTTTTCGGTAGGTTTCAGATGCCTTCCTGTTCCTTCGATGATCTTGCAAAATGCCACTTACACCTCCAAATGTACTAGTAGGTCCTTAAAAATATCTACAGAACCTCAGGATCCGCTGCACAGAAGCATTCCAACTGAGCAACAGTCTGAATAGCAAAGACTGCAGAACCGCAGGATGAAATGCCTAGTAATGCTCACATGTTACACTTACCAGAGATCTGAGCTACTGCTCAGGATGTAACTTCCTCTAGCAGGAGAAAAAAATAGTGCATTTGGACAGCCTTCACAATTAGAAGGTTCATGCCAGTTCTGTGACTAATCCAGATCAAACTGAAAAATTCTATAACTGAAAAACGAGTGCGCTTTTAACATTTTCCACTAAAAGCCACAAGGAAATCTGGTGTACTGCCTCTGCTGACTAACACTGGTTTTAGCAAGTAAACAATTCCAAACAGCTTAACTGCTTTCGTATGTTACAATATAGCAAATGTTTAACCCTACAAAGACAGCTGCAATAGGAATGTGTCTGCAGTGAACCCACAGAATTAGAGATGAAAGATGTTTTATGAGAATTCAAAAATCATGAACCTAAAATTTTATTATTATCAAGACCATTTTTAATCTGCCAGATGTATGTTATTTTCAAGGAAACAAAGAAATTTATGATTTACCAACAATTTCTAAGTTATTGTATATTATTGATGAAATTATATATTTAAAAGGAAAAGTCTAAAATTTCATAATGTAGAAACCCTATGTCTAAAATGCTATGGTTCACTTGAATTTTCACCAACGAAATATTTTAACCCTAACATCTAGGGATAGAACAAAGACCTAAAATTTGCCAAAAAGCCACATAAAAACAATTGTTTCAAGTCCTTATTTCTGAAATATCTGTATGTCAAGAAGTATCACACATACACACCCTGGCAACTCCCTCCCATATAATTTTTTTCCAAAGTTACAAATAAGTGACAAAAACAAATATTAATAGCTCCCGCTCCCCCCACTTCCTTCTTTGTTTAAAGCCAGGGATTATTCCCCACAGAAATATTACAAAGAAAATACTATGGTTTCTCTTTAATCTTTGTTCTTACTTTGCTCAACTAGAATATTCATTACTGAACATGGTAGTTACTTTTGAATATGTATGTATTGAGTATTATACATTCCCATTTAATACTCGGATAAGTTTGCCATGTTCCCATATAACATAGGCAAAAAGCACTCTGAAATTATGTATCTTACCCAAAATTACGTAAATTAGTAAAGTTGTTCCTTTCTAATTTCAAACACATGTTCTTCCCAATCTTTTCTTCTTCCAGTGACGGTACACACACACACATATATACATGCAAGATCTTGGCAATCTATAAAACCTGACTGTAAAAGTAACCTTAAAAGATGAATAGCTTGTAACGGTTGTGAAAAGTTTAGGTAATAAAAATATACTACTGACTTTGATAGTATTCCCAAACAAGTTTTTTAAAATGGGTATTTAAAGCTTAGAGTCATCACACATTTAAACCAGTTTACATAACAAAATATACAAAGATAAAAAAACAGCATGACACAGATAAGAATGGCAGCGACTAAGAACAAAACCAGTATCTCTGAAAAAAACTGCAACCCTAACGTAACTATACCAAGGCACTAAAATATGCTAACAATTTACATATATGAAACATAAATATATGTAACTTGTTCCAAAGTATTATCCATTGGGTAAATTCACCTACTTAGATTTAAGTCCGTTCAACTTGTTTCTTGTTCTAGGTCATCTTCCATACTTAGGGCTTTCCCAATCAGAAAGCAAGCTCCTTAAAAGGCAGACACTGTATTATATACATACTGTTTCTTCCACCTTTACGTAATATCACTGAATGAATTGATTATGTCAAAGACTGAAACAGAGTGAAAGAATTATAATGGGGTGTGTGTGTGTGTGTGTGTTTATACACACATTTTAATCAGAAAACAAAGCATTAAGGTACAAGAAAATGAGTTTGATACCTCTCATCAGTGAGCAACTTAAATATACAAGTTGACAGGCTATAAAACAATGAAATAGATTCTATTATTTGTTGGCTGTGTATTTGGACAAGGTAAATTCCCCGCCCCTAACTCTAATTTTCCTCACACTTCTAAAAACCTCCAAAGATTTTTATTCAAGGGAAAGACTGTAATGACAGTGACTGAGAATGTAGGTTTTGGAGGCAAACTGCCCCTATTCTTATCCGGCTTCCCACTAACCTAACCATGTGACCTTGAGCAAATTACTTAACATCTTGGTTATCTCATTTCAGCAACTATTAAATGGCATGAAGAGAATCTACTTTATAGTACTATTCACAGTGAAGTATAAAATAATCATTATGGATATTTTGGGTAGTTGAATGATATTCCTTGTGAAGCCAGTGGGTAGAAAAGGGGCTATTCAACATCTCCGCCCATCCACTCGCTGGTGAAATGATAGAGACTGGTGTCTTGAGCTCCCCCCATTCTGTTAGTAAGTTCCCAGACTGGAAGAAGCTTGTCTTAAGACTCCAATACAAGACAAACGTTTACTAAATGTTATTGGGAGGAGGGAGCAGTAAACTTAATAAAGTAGGACTACTGCTTTTTCCATTCTTCCTCATTCTTTGAATTTTTTAGTTTTAGGAATATGAAAGAACAGAAAGTCCTAGCCCATGGTATGTTATCAAAGAGATGAAAAACAGTAACAACAAATATTTCAAAAAAATTTAAACTTAAGGGGCCTCCCTGGTGGCGCAAGGGGTTAAGCACAGTACTGTGACGCTATCCGCAGCCCACTCCTGCATGGATTTGATCCCTCCCTGGCCAGGGAGCTGACCCACATGGCGCAGCAGACCTCTCCTGTCTTGCCCACTGCTCCCCTCAGCAGTGTATTTCAGTAGATCCACCTGTTCTGCTCCCCAACTGGGTCTCTGGCGAATCCTCACTGTCCTCCCCTCGCCCTTCCTCTGCACCTTTGGCCTGTACCCCAGTTCTTATATGCATAAATAAATCTTTTAAAAAATTTAAATTTAAGTTAAAAGCAATATAACATCTATCCACATATGGTTTTTAGATCCTCTACTGACCAAGATAAGACCCTAACATCAAGGAACACACATCCCTAGGCACTTTATGAGACAGAACTGACATAAAAACTCTGGACTGCCAACTTCCTGACTTTTATATTGGAGAGTTATAGAAGTTCTACCTTGTTTAAACCATTGTGATTTTGAATCTCTGTTACTTAGACCTAAACCTAATGCTAAGTGGTATCTTACTCTTTCTATAATCATCAATCAATGCAGATACGTCTTCCAGTCCTATTCAACCATCTATATTCCAATATAGTTTAAATTTTCAATAAATAAGAATTACAAACACTGCAACAAATTGTAATAGAAATAACTGGTCAGAAAACAGCTTAGAGACCATTCCATATTCATCTTAGGTAAGTAAAGGAAATCAGAGGAGGGAGAAAGGAACAAACATTTATCACTGAATGCTCAGTCACCATTGGTGGGCACTATCATCTAACATATATGGGAATGGAAGATGAGTAACATCAAGTCACATTAATGAGTTATCCATCTCATCCAAACATCTAACTATAATCAGGCTTTTTGATAAAATGAGTAAACACAATTATGAGTAAACAGTTAATCCATGTTCAACAGATCTTACATAAACAAATAGTACATGACTGATAAAATGTAGAAGGGGAAAGTTTTTTGGAAGGAGCTAAAGGAAGGTGCATTGATTAGGGCAAGCAAACATGAGGAACAATGGCAGATATTGTTGGAGAAATTGGTTAACTCAGATTACAAATGGCTTTGTAAACAAAATGAAAACATTTCAATTTTTTATTCAGTAATTGAAAAATCATTAAAGATTTTTAAGCAGTCATCACTCTTTACTTTAAAATGATTATGTCGTCTATGCAGAGAATAGAAAAGAGGGTAAGAATGGAAGCCAAGGGCCTCCCCAGTGGCGCAGTGGGTTGAGTGCAGCACTGTGAAGCTATCCACAGCCTCTGCAGTGCAGGCTCGATTCCCAGCCAGCCAGGGAGATACCCACATGGCACGGCAGACCTCTCTTGTCTCGCCCGCTGCTCCCCTCAGCAGTGTCCTTCGGTCCTTCTGCCTGCTCTGCTCCCCGCTCTGTCTCTGGTGAATTATCTCACTCTCCCGCACCTCTGGCCTATACTCCCGTACTTGTATAACTAAATCTTTAAAATAAAAAAAAGAATGGAAGCCAAAGGACTAGTTAGAAGGATCATAAAAGACCACTATGAACAATTACATGTTAACAAACTGGACAACCAAGAGGATGGTTAAACTCTTAAAAACATATAAACCATCAAGACTGAGACATGAATAAAAATTCTAAGTATACATAGAATAAGGAGAAATCAAAAAACCTCCCAGAAAGAAAAGTTCAAGACTTTACTGGTGAATTCTACCAAACATTTACAGAATTAAAACCAATCATTCTCAAACTCTTACAAAAAACTGAAGAGGAAAAAGTACTTCGAAAATAATTTTACAAAGCCAACATTACTTTGATAGTGAAGCCAGATAAAATCAGCACAAGAAAACCATAGGTCAATATTCCTGATGAACATAGTTGCCAAAATTAACAAAATACTAGCAAACCAAATTCAATAGCACAATAAAAGGATCAAACACCATGGGTAAATGGGTCTTAATGGTGGCATGCCTGGATGGTTGAGCACATAAAAATAAATTCATATGACATATATATTAACAGTATAAAAGGATAAAAATCACATGATCATCTCAATGGACACAAGGAACATCTGATAAAACCCCTTATCATTTCATGATAAAAATAACAAGGGCCTCCCGGATGGCGCAGTGGGTTGAGCGCTGCACTGTGAAACTGTCTGCAGCCTCTGCAGCGCGGGTTCAATTCCCGGCCAGCCAGGGAGATTTCCACATGGCGTGGCAGATCTCTCCTGTCTTGCCCGCTGGTCCCCGCTGTCTCTGGTGAATCATCTCACCCTCCTGTGCCTCTGACCTGTACCCCAGTTCTTATATAAAAATAAATAAATCTTTAAAAAAAATACTCAACAAACTAGGAATAGAATGAAATTACTTCAATATGTGTCATATACAGAAAGGCCGCAAATTCAATGATGAAAGACTAGAAACCTTTCTCCTAAGATCAGAAACATGGCAAGGA